TTATACTTTTATTTTTTTTTAATCGAACGTTTATAACAAATAATTATAGATGGTTTTTGAAAAAACGATCCGCGCAAACTACTAATTTATTGCCAAATCACTTGCTTATAATTCTTAAAGATAGTGTGGCGTATAATGAATCATTGCCGTTTGCTGCATGTTCCTATTTTAAAATGGAAATAAAYGTAAAAACAAAATAGATGATATGTATATTCTATAGTAGATATAATATGTGTGTTAAAAATTATTGTAACAATGTATATTTAATTTCTCCCTGCCGGGTCGTCCAATGTATATGATATTAATTCTAACACAATATATAATAGTAATAATAATAATAAATGTAATAATGCTAGAAGTCCGTTTTGTGTAGTCGAATTCGTTCGCTGTCAAGACTTTATACTTAGGTATACGCTGCACTGTGCTTATATACGCGTATCACGCTATACCTACYAAAGTATAAGTCTCAACTAAATATATATATTTTCAGTCGTCAGGTTAAAATGTAAAATATTATGTTAAATTGCAAGCTATTATACGTTTTATGGGAAATTGCGACGGATAACATATAATAAAAACGTTTTAAATAGGTATTTGTTTTTATAATAATGTTATGTATATGTAAAAGATTTAACGCTATGTTATTAATTAACGCGGTAATATTTACGGTGAGATATTATAGGTTTAATATATATCTATACATATTGTATGTAGGTATATTTTTTTTAAATACAAAAGTAAAATAAGCGATATGAATAATATAAAACCGGAGGAGTGATAAACAAATATTATCGTGGTTGAACGCTGCTGGAGTGTATGACTAAATGGCGCCTCTCGACGGGATACGTGGCGTTTAGTGCTTTAGGGGCATAGGATTTATTTCCAACAACCTGTTCTGAGATTCGGCGACGCTTCTTGATCATCGCCTGTAAAAKTGCTTGTATGTGATATCGTTAGTTAATTTTTATTTTGTTTTGACAATTAATAATTTTTTTTATTCAGATTTTCGACGATGAGAGAAATCTTAACTAGTTAAGTATATTATTTGTTTAGTGTAGGTACGACCAATCTACTGCTGTAATATCTTAAAATAATATATTTTTCAGTAAAACATTTTAAATAAAAATATGACTGGCGTCGTTCTTTTATGTTATCCGTTCATATAAATTACTAATAATAATACAAAAACATAAAATTACATTTCTTTAACAACAAAATAAAGAATAATTATTAATAAATTAATATATAACTTACAACAAGTCTAATAATAATATATAATACTACAAGAATTAATGCAGGCTAATGACCGGCGATGTTGAAGCCTTATTTCTAATAAAAAAAAAAATAAGAATTAATGATTCAATTATATAATTATGACTATAATCGATATTTTAACTGTTAATATTTTAADAATCTAAAATTAAATTGAATAATTACTTTTTATTTACCTGGGTAGGTATATAATGTATAATCGCTGTAATATTAATATTACATAGTAGTGGGGTATTTAAAAATTACACATTTAAGTACTTACACGAATTCGGTATAATCTATATAGCTCATATTATGGTATACTTTGGCGATTTATTAATTGCAAAAATAACGATTATATAGCATATTTCTGAATTATAAATCATTCGAATAATTAGATTACCTACTTAT